CCCCCCCCCCCCCCCCCCCAGTGAGGACCATGTTCATCGTTCGCCATGGCCAATTCCTTACCCCCTTTCCACAGCAAGATCCTAGAAGTAAAATGCTCTCCTCTTTTTTCAGCTGTTGGTAAAGACTGTGCTGAGCTGTACAAGAACGGTGTTAAACTAAGCGGAGTGTACACCATTACCCCCTCTAACGGCCAAAGTCCCTTCGATGTTTACTGTGACATGACCACTGACGGGGGAGGATGGACGGTGAGTGCAACAGCCGGATTAGTTGGGCCTCGATGCTTTTACTTTTGAAATTTTTCTTATATGAGTAATACAGGGGCGGATTCAGATATATTTTCTGACAGTCTTCCAAATTATTTTTGTTGATCCGTCCTCCATTTTTGACCGTCTTCCGTCAAAAAATTAGATACCCGTCAATGTAAACTTGAAAATCTGACCGTCCTAAACCCTGGCCGAAATCCGCCCCTGTAATACTTCTACCTTGTATGTTCTCTACCGCCTTATATTTGTCTACATGTTTTAATATACATGTGTGACCAATTGCTCTGCAATGAAGCATGGGTTTTTACTCGTTTAATATGTGAGTTTTCAAGACTCAGACTCGAAGATGATACAGGGATATGTACTGTTTCTTTTCCAGTTATTCCAGAAACGTATGGACGGGTCGGTCGACTTCTTCCGCGGTTGGGAGGATTACAAACACGGCTTTGGTAATCTGAACGGGGAGCACTGGCTTGGTATGATATACAACATTCTTTTTAATTATACTTCCTTTTCAAAGGGTATGCTCTGAAGAGTTCATTCATTCAGTGGTTGTAAATGAATAGTGATATTCGCTTAAATTATTTGTACACTTGAAATAAATACCGGCTCATGTAGTTACAAAAATGTGGGAAAGAGTTTTGCAATTATAAAGGTGTTCTTATGTTTTTCGAGAACACCCTCTCAATAATATATTTTTGTATATAGAAAACGTTAGAAAATTTATGAACATTTTCAGTTTTTCATCCATCTTCCATGATGACACACTTCCTCTTTATCTTTTCTTCTCATCCAGGAAACGATCTTATAAATCTTCTCACTAACCAAGGTCGCTATGAACTCCGCGTTGATATGGAGGACGCCACTGGGGTCAAGGCTTATGCCCGCTATGACAATTTCGCCATTTCATCAGAGAGGACAAATTATCAGCTGACCATTGGCGTGTACTCTGGAAACGCAGGTGTGTGTGTGTATGTGTGTGTGCTTGCGTTTTGTGTTAATGTGTGTGTGTGTGTGTGTGTGTGTGTGTGTGTGTGTGTGTGTTTATAGACCCATAAACATGAATTTTGCACATTGATGCTTCTTGTGCTGTCTGTTATTCTGTGAATATTATTTATATTTAAGGCGACTCACTCGGCGTCCATAATGGCATGGCATTTTCGACGAAGGACAGAGATAATGACAACTACGATGGTAATTGTGCTCAAAACCATAAGGGAGCGTGGTGGTACAACGCATGTCATAGGTCAAACCTGAACGGTCTGTACCATCTTGGTGAGCATGCGTCTTATGCTGATGGCGTCAACTGGTACGCATTCAAAGGTCATAAGCATTCGCTGAAGACAACAGAGATGAAGATTCGTCCGATCGGCTTCAAGGTAGCTTCTGGTGTCAGTGGCTGAATGTGCAAGAGTAACTACGTTTGAAAACAAAACAAGTAGGGCATTTATTTTGGGCAATGTTCTGAGAAGTCAAAAGTTTGTATACATGTATAAGAATATATTAGATAATTTAAATTATGAAATATCAGAAATAAATGAAGAGAAATATTTCTTAGAAAATGAAGTGACTTCGTACAGTATGAACTATGCTGTGTATTGGTAAATCATATTTTCTGTATTTTAAATGGCACAAAGTGACGCTTAGATACACCCGATATAATAAGGTAAAGGCAAAGGTCTACTTGTGCAACATTTATGTTGATATGGAAAGAGAACTGAAGTGTGAAACTGTGAACTCTGATTCCAAATACATTACGAATAAATTTTAGGTTTTGTACACCTTTGATGTGTTTCTATAATTTCACAAATCCAACACAATAATAAGAACACAATAACAGAAACAATATTGAACTGTCAAGCATGTTATTTGTCTTTACTAAATCTTAAAACCCCGGCTGTAGCTAATAAATACATGTTCATGCTTAGCACAATGTGGTTGAATAAATAAAATGCAAATCGTTCCATAACTACAGCAACTGCTTTCTTTTGTGTATGGCGGACAATGGAAACTGAACTAAAAGCCAACTAAACTAAAACTAAAACTTCTTTACAATTTATTATCAGATATTTTTTAAAGGTCTATATCTTTGTCTATTAGAATGAACATTTGGCGTCGAGAGGTTGTCAGTTTTTGACAGAGAATTCGCCTCAGAATTCGCAGACCGATTCGTGGACAACGGTGATGAATGCGATAGTTGTGACAGAGTCACCGCTCGCCGCTTTCGTGATGGGTGAGACGTCGTCGCTCTCGATCAGCAGACATGTTTGGCGACGTAGGAAACATTGAAATCGCTGAAAGTTCATAATGATCCAATGCCCCACCCAAACAACAACAAACAAAAGCACGAGAATCGCAGCTAGAATTCTAAAATCCTGCCTTACAATGAGGTCTCTATATCATAGGATTTTCAAAGCGCTTCATGATGAACCTTCTAACAAATGCGATAGTTGTGACAATGTTACCGCTCGCCGCATTCTTCGGACAACTCTCAAATGGTCACCCTTTGTGCCTCAGACGATACCAAAATCACTGAAAACTCAGAATGATAAATGCTTGTTTGTCCTGTGGGCAAAAGCACGTGGGCTTGTGAATAAAATCACAAAAAGGGAATTTTCCTTTCAAAGTGTTAAGTTTTTATTGCACTAATATTTAAAGATAAATATGTGAGATTAAAGACACTGAAAAAACTTTTTTGCCAAATGCCAGCATTCATGATGTATGGACATTCCTCCTTATTATTTCCAAGTAATATTTCCTAAATTACAATTATGCACTGAATAACCATCCTGATTGCGTTTCGGACCAAAATATGTTTTCAACTGATCATCACAGCCAACAATGTGAGTTTGATTATAAACTGTTACATGTATATTACATGCTAAAAGCAACTTTCCTAACTGTTGAGATTCGGGTTTAAACTGCGGCACTGTCACAATATTTTCGAGTTAATTATGAGCAAAATCCGGGTTTAAGGTTCAGTCCTGTAACGAAACTCCATAATTAAGTATAAATGCGTCCTTGCTCAGACTAACGGTTCATTCTACCGGTACAAGTGTCAGACGATACTAGTCCTGCCTGCAGGAAATCGTGTACCATGTTACGCATCCAACTTTTATTGGCGTCATTTTGTCTGTGGACACCATCAAACGGACACGTCATTGAGCGGTAAGTTTAGGTGTTAAAGCATGCCTTTTCTTCAAAATGATGAAATTATGAAAACGTAACAATATAGGTTGCCGTATGGAGCAGCTGTGTTCTTATTGTAGTAGATTGGGCTATATGACGGATACGTACACATATAGCTCATTATTGCTATTGTCAAAATATCAGTATTTACAATACTGAAGCGAGGTAAAATACAGCACAAAGAAGAAATATAGGCAAGATATACCAAACTGAATCGATTTCCTTATACATTTATATACCTGTATTATTCGAACCGAACTTAATTCAGAACCTTCTGCCAGTCCCCATGACTTGTCTTATGTACTGTATCTCCAATGTCTTTTACATTTTATATTTTTAAAGATTGGTCTCTTGCTATTAACCAATTTGAAATCACAATATGTTCATTCTAATTAGATCATATTTTTTCTCAAAGGTTTGGGAAGTAATATACCGCAGTAATAAAAGGACATTACTGCAATTTCCGAGCAAATTATCTATCTATTCGTTAATTCATTTCGCTGTATAAGGGATGACGCAAATTGTACTGGTATTCCTCAAAATATCGGTATTTTCTAGCCGTCAAGCAGCTAATGGCTCCACGTCACAACCACAATGTTCTCTCGTGGACCGACTGTTAGACGTCTTACAAAACGACCTAAGCAGGCTGGAGGGGAAATACGACGACCTCTTAGAGAAATATCACAGAATTGTGGAGACCACATCCAATTTGCAGATTAGTTTCGCAAAGTTATCTTTGGACAAGCAAAATGGTATGTTTTTGATAATGCTGCGGTTTTTAATCTTATTAAACCAATAGCGATTAGGCATACTACATGTACAAAGAAAGACTGAAAAGGTAGTTTAAGTTATTTAATCACAAACTGAGTTGTAAACACACACACACACACACACACACACACACACACACACACACATATATATGATCCTCATCAAATGCATTCAGAACAGAGGACTAACTGATTTGGTCCTCGGATCTGTTAGTCCGCTGCTCTGCATGAGCGCATTTGTGAAAATGATCTAGATGTTGACAAGTATCTGTGAATATTAATAAAAGCATTTCTGCCATTTGCTACCCAATGAAATAAATACTCACTAAAAGGGATCTTTAGGGATGCGAGCGTTGATTAAATAATAATAACGGGTCCAGGGAGGCGAGTCACAGCTAGCACGTGCCATCCAACAAGTTACTGAAGTATATGTGCACCGTTCGATCTTGCTCGTTTCTTTACTCTATTCTTTATGCCCCTATTTCACACAGACCACGAATCCCACGAATCGATTCAGTTACGATACAGGTGCGATAGTGTTACGAATATTCGTGGGATTCGGCTGGAATCGCACGAATATTGTCCAGAAATTCACTACGATTTTTTGGAATCGGGATTTTTTTGAACAGCTCAAAATTTTTGCCACGAATTCCCGATTGATCAAGAATTGCAAGAACTGACTACGATTATATACGAACCTGTTAAGAACAGCACGAACTGATTACGATTTAACTACGAATCCTGAAATTTTCAATTCCTGGCGATTCGTGGGATTCGTGGTCTGTGTGAAATAGGGGCATCAAAGTTTTTGCCACGAATTCCGATTGATCAAGAATTGCAAGAACTGACTACGATTATATACGAACCTGTTAAGAACAGCACGAACTGATTACGATTCAACCACGAATCCTGAAATTTTCAATTCCTGGCGATTCGTGGGATTCGTGGTCTGTGTGAAATAGGGGCATCAAAGTTTTTGCCACGAATTCCTGTTGGTCAAGAAGTACAAGGACTGACTACGAATATATACGAATCTATTAAAGAACTTCACGAACTGATTACGATTCAACCACGAATCCTGAAATTTGTCAATTCCTGGCCATTCGTGGGATTCGTGGTCTGTGTGAAATAGGGGCAAGATCCTGGAACTAAATCTATATCTTATATTCCCAGCTATTGGCAAAGACTGTGCTGAGTTGTACAAGAACGGTGCAAAACAAAGCGGAGTGTACACCATTACCCCCTCTAACGGCCAAAATCCTTTCGACGTTTACTGTGACATGACCACTGACGGGGGAGGATGGACGGTTAGTGCAACAGCCGCTGTGTATGGGCAGAAATGGTTAAACGTTTGAAAATATACATTTCATGAGTAATACAATTATTTACATGTTCTTGTCTGCGCTATATATGTAAAACGTGAGTGTCTAATTCGTAATTCTCTCTTATATATCTTGATCAAGAGCTATATGTTCTATATCTGCAATGAAGCACGGTTTTTTACTCGCCATGTGAGTTAACAGGACTTCACGCGAGGATATGTACATTGTTGTACTGTTTCACTTCCAGCTATTCCAGAAGCGTATGGACGGGTCGGTCGACTTCTTCCGCGGTTGGGAGGATTACAAACACGGCTTTGGTAATCTGAACGGGGAGCACTGGCTTGGTATGAAAAAAAACATACTATTTGATAATACTTGCCTTTCAAAGGGTGCACATGTAATATTCTGAAGAGCTTTATTCATTCTGTGTTGAATGACAAAGTGACGTTAGCTTTATTTATTTTAGCATTTAATATAAACATTTGTCGAAAGAAACCTCTATTGACAAACCATGTTGTAGCAGAATTATCTGAAAGAGTTTGTGAGTTCTTTATCGCCGAATTCATCCCCTCGGTAAATATTGGTTTGTATTGGTATGTTAAAGAAAACTGTTTGGATATTTATGTTCATATTAAGTTTTTTATCCGTCTCGCGTGGTAACATACTTTTTGCGAGCATTTTCAACGGCATAGTTATCTTTTCTAAGAAAACTTTCAGATGTTTTATGCCAAAAGAATAGAAAGATTTTTCTTCATCCGACAGCTAAATATTTATTTGCTTTATTTCCAATATTTTAATGCCTATCAGAGGTTCTGTATCAAGAATGATCTACATCATCTCTATTCTAAGTAATATTTTCTTCTCATCCAGGAAACGATCTTATAAATCTTCTCACTAACCAAGGTCGGTATGAACTCCGCGTTGATATGGAGGACGCCACTGGAGTCAAGGCGTATGCCCGCTATGACAATTTCGCCATCTCCTCAGAGAGGACAAATTATCAGCTGACCATTGGCGGATACTCTGGAAACGCAGGTAAACTAAGTTTGCTTAGTGACATTTTATGTATTGACCAGTTTGCCCTGGGAGCTTTAATTACCCGCAATTCTGTAGACGTATACATTTATTTTAAAACATAAAAGGGAAAGAGGCATTTAATGCCATTCTTGGATGAAGGTATTAAAGTTATAAGCTTTCTCTCTCTCTCTCTGTTTCTCTCTCTCTGTGTGTGTGTGTGTGTGTGTGTGTTTGTTGTGAAGACCTATTATTGTACTGATACATCTTATACTAGTTCTCTAAAATTATTTGGAATTCAAGGTGACTCCCTGGGTAACCATAATGGCATGGCATTCTCGACGAAGGACAAAGATACCCGCACGAAAACGAAGTAGATGCTCCAGCGCAGTAGACTACTGCAATCATACTGCAAACATGCTTCAAATCTGCTTCGATGTGGGAGCTAATTAGCATATTTGAAACATGCTTCTATCATGCTGCTAATCTACTGCATTAATGCTCCTCCTCTGTACAACCCTATGTAATTTTTGAAGTAGAATTGCAGTAGGCTATACTGCATTTCTACTGCAAATATGCTCCACACCACTACTGCGTTAATGCTTCTTTGCTACTTCGATACTACTGCATTTTCATGCGGGTAATGACAGCCACGACAGCAATTGTGCTCAAACTTATAAGGGCGCATGGTGGTACAAAGCATGTCATAGGTCAAACCTGAACGGTCTGTACCATCTTGGTGAGCACGCGTCTGGCGCTGACGGCGTCAACTGGTACGATTTCAAAGGCCATAACTATTCACTGAAGACAACAGAGATGAAGATTCGTCCAATCGGCTTCAAGGCGGCTTCAGCTGTCATTGGCTAAATGTGCTAAAGTAATTATGTTGAAAAAACAAGAAAATTTAGGACTCCCCCCATTTAGCAATATACCAAGACTTAGAAAAATTGCATAGGGTGTACTAAATGTGTCTGAATGAAATGAAGTGAGATAGGTCAGACTAGAATGTGTAAAATTATGTTTATAGTTATGCAATGATGATTTATCTTCAATATTTTCATGCAATTTTGCTTCATCATCCTTACATCGTATCTGTCGAAAGAGACCTACAAAGAAAACATTTCAATTTGAAACGAGGAAATTTATATCTTAATTGGTTTCATGTATATTGTCACTTTGCTGCAGAATAAATTGTCAAACAACTGATGCTGTTTGATCATTTGATTTGATTTTTGGCAGAAAATATATCTATTAAATTGATATTTTTCTCCTCCTCTTGCAAGAAACAACCTCTCATTGCCGTGTGTTTGTACCAAAACTGTTATCGTTTCTAACTCACGATGCAACTTATTGACCACATTTGTCATACTTATGTCAACACGATTGAGCGACGACTTGATCTTATTGACCGAAATGTACACAACAGGGAGATATATATATCTTATACCGGTATAATGTCCGAATCGTCCGATAAGCGGACGCGAATTCATCGTGACACATATCTGTTAATTAAATTTGTTTCAAGTCGTTTGGGACCGTTATTAACGGTACGTAGGCGCTATTATCCCTTTTATTCTCTTAGAGATATTTCATTGTAAATATACGTTTTTTTCCTCCTAAAATATCATAACCTTGTGATGGTGTTCTCAGTTTTTTTCTAAATCTATTTTAGTTTGTTTGAATTTTATAGATTTTTCTTGTACGGAAGCCGCAATCTCTAAGTTAGTCCTGCAAGTACTGCTATAAGCAGTGTGGGTGAAATAGGTCGAGGATTGAGGGCTATATAATCACGTGTCCTATCTTCCATTAAGATGCCATCAGATGTCCATGTTCCATTAATACCACTTATCACCGCGACGGTTTTCTAGTAGCTGGTGGCTGTAAGAAATTGATAAGGTCCTGCATTTATTAATATAGTACTCATACTTAAAGATGAGAAAGACCACGAAGCAAGGCTTCTTTTCACTGGCTTTATATACATGTACTTTGTTAGGACTTTGTCTGATAGGTAAGTCCTAGTAAATAATATATTAGTGACTATTTAAGGTGGCAGTTGTGAATAATTTAAAGGACCTTTTACAGTAACTGATATACGTAGTTTGAATTAAGAACAGAAGTATCATAAACGCACTTTTCAATTACAGCAGCCATGAGAACATGTTCCAGACAAAAGTAGGGGGTAGTTTATTTACTTGTTCTTGAGTATTGCAGACAAATGGAACTTCTTCAATCATGTTCGTACTATGTATACATGTATGAGCCTTCGCTTCAGGATCCCCCGCCTTTCACAGGAACAAAATTTCCTGATTATTCCTTATTATTTCCCCTATGAAACACAAGAATTCTGGGATAATAATATCACATTTTTCTTGTTTTTATTTTTTATTAAGATTTTACAGGCCATAACATATAAACAACCGCTGTTTGGTATGGTAACAAGTCGAGAAAGAGAAAGTTTGAACAAACAAAAAAAAAACGATTTTCCCTGATTTGAAGACCTTTTCTTAAATTCCTTGAAGCCACATTTCAGGTTTCCCTTGTTTTCCTGCCACTTATATAGAAAACCATTAATGTACTTCCAGTAGGCCTACATACTTTTTACCAACGCCTTTTTATATATTATGTTATATTTGTATGAATATTCCAAACTTAAAACTCTTGGAATGAGAGAAGGAGGGAAGAGGCAACGGCGTGTTTTTGTATCTCATGGATGTCTCCATGCAAAAGAAAAAAAACAACATATTTGGAGCTTCAGAGGATCACGTGGTGCCAAGCCACTTACATTTTGGTTCGACATTTTCCTCTAAAAATAATGCTTGTACGATGGCATTTTCAGGGACAGCGGTGGCGAGTGGAAGTGGTGCGAAAGGTAAGGCATAGCATTTCTTGTTAAGTGCGTCTAACTACGTCTACACTGTAGATTGAGTGTTTTGATTTGTCTTGTCTATAAAATCAATAAAATTAATACGGAATGATAAAATAAATTAGTCTTTACTTAGAGACCAATAACGTCATGCGACACTTAGGCCCATCACGTATGGACCTATAGACGTGAATGGTAATTATGCGCCAGAATCCGACGCTCAAGAAACCGGACTTGAAGTGTAGATGGGGCGTTGACTATTGATGTAAACTACTTGTCTACTTAGCAGGTGTACCGTACTCTCCGTCTTTCTCAAGTATCTTAAGGCCCGGTCCCACTGGCGTTTAGGATAAATTTCGCATGAAGTGCGCACACAATTGGTTAATATTCACTAAACATCCACAATATTCGTGATACATGCTTGTATTATTCGGCCAGCATCCGCACATGTCCGTAATTATCCGCAGAGGCACTTATTTCCCTTCTCAAGATTTTTTATCTGCCCAAAATTGCGGTTGCATATGACATGCGCAATACTTTCGCAAATATATACGCAATACATAGGTTATACATACATTGTATGCAGCACATGCGTTGTTTTCTGCTCTTATCCGCAACTCAAGGGTAAATTGCGGCTTGCTAGCGGACTAGGAGAGCATGTATTGAGTATGTAAACCGTATGTAGAGCGTCCCTCACGTCCATATCACAAACTAAAATATCGCTAAGTAAAATAATATATTAATATGTCAGGATATAAATCTTTCTGTTGCGTCTGACGCGTCTGATTTGCGGACATCTGCAATTGCATCCGCTTTTATTTGTGATACATACACAATACATTATCAATAAGTCCGTAATTCATACTGTTCTTATCAGCACGCTATTGCAAAAAAATTGTCATTTTTGGTCAAATCTGTTGCGGATGACAATGAAGGTCCGAATCCCAAGAAATTCTGTAGCCTCAATTCTCTCTCAATTCATCCTCAATTCATCCCCTCGTCAGTGTGACCGGGCCTTTAGTATTTTGTAGGCGGGCAGTAGGGGTGCAGATCTTGAGATGTACGTTGGACAATCCCTTTAGGATTGACAAATTTAACACGTTCTCTAAATCGAGTTCCAAGCGTTTTCTCCCTTTCTTCGATGTTAAAGTGTGTTGGATTTTGCTCACATGAGACTTTAAATACCGATTGGAGCCTTTCCATCCTACAAGGTACAAGTTGTTGCCTCAAAGTGTAGGTTTCATGAATGAATTAAGATCATGAGTCTGGGACCTGTGTGAGTGTCGGATAGAGTGTCCACTCTTAGGTGGGGTTAATGGATGGCGAGTGTCCAATTCCCATAGTTGTTGACTCTGAGTGCCATGCGTATGTGTCTCACTTCATAAGCTTAGCCCCGTTTCCTTCTGCGCAAAATCACCATTCACGTGACCAAAGTGTAAAGAACGCCGTGGTTGGCTGATATATTTTAGTCTCCGGAGTAAAAAATAAGTCTGTGCTTTTACCCTATCTACAAACCATGAAAAACCTCATTCATGGCAATATAAAATGCTTAGGAATGTAATTTAATTTCCCCTTGATTGAAACCTATTACTGCTACTTTATATTTCAGTATGCGATGAATCAGATGTTGCATTTCTGCTAGATGTAATCGGAGATCCGAGAGACGCACCGATGATTCAACATTTCATTGGGTCTTTGGTGAACGATTCCTTCAACATAGGACCGGACAACGTCAGCATTGCTATCGTTTCTTTTATCCCGTCCATGGATGGCCTTATAAGACTAGCCGACGAACAATCATATGAAAATATACTGGGCAGAATCCATGCTATACGCGTGCCTCCAAATAATTATCTTCTACACCTTGTTGGAAGTCAAACTCACCGAGCGCTTGAAGTCGCCCGGACGACATTACTTAATCCAATGGATCCTGACGGAGGGAGATTGAATACCAGTAAAGTTGCTGTTGTTATTAGCACTGGTATCGAAACTAATTTTTGCAAAACTGTTCAAAATGCCCAGGCTGCAAAACTACGAGGTATCGAAATTTATGCGATAGGGGTCGGAAGCAAGACAAGCCTACTCCCAGAGTTGCAAGCAATTGTGAGTCCACCGGTGCACACCCATGTTTTTATAGTGGAATCCTTCGATGGATTGCTTGAATTGCCGGTGAATTTCTCCGAAGCTTTCTGTTCAGGTAATTAAAACACAACTCCACTTAGTCGAATCCACTTAGTGTGGAATCTGCAACTTTTGTTTTTGCTAAGGAGGTTTTTTTTCAAGCTCCCTTTGTATGTTTATCACCAGCCTGGGCAAAAAAAGTTGTGGATTGATTTTGATGACATTTTCAGGATCGGTCAATAATGAGCTAACTTTTAAAAAAGTGATAAGATTTTGATAGTGATCCTGATCACCATCTGCGTCATTACCATCGCGAGATGCATTCAGTGACCTTGAACCGAAAATCGCGGAGGGTGTCGTAAGGTCGTGGTGCAGTGGATGTACTCTCTACTACTACATATTATAAGTGTGAAGTCCTTGGCGGAGGTCTGCGCTCTCTGAGTGCTTTTCTAGTTTCCATTTACTTTGTCTAATCCTTAGAGGAATGCCTTAAAAGTTTGTTGGTCACTTAATTTATTTAACACTTGATAATATAAGACCAGATGAGCCATGAATGTGCGTAGCTGTAGGGCAGATGTCACATAATATTTAAGGCAAAAGACGGCTCCTGCCTCCTGCAGTGTACATGAACGCAAGAAGAAGAGAGAACGTTTATTAAGCCGGGAGAGGGGTTGTCTCTTCCCCTTGTAACCCCTACACCCGCTTATGTTAATCACCTTCTCATATTTATTTTAGTTTCCAACAAAAGTACAGCATGGCATCCAGAAACAACCAGCTGGTACAGATACTACCGAACAGCTTGCCAAGAGCACTTTACTACGCAGGGTATCACAACAGCCACATCAGATCATTCTGGGTCGTCAGCGATATTCATGTCATCTGCGTCACCAAGGATGTCTGTTGAGAGCGACATCGTCTCACCCATCGGGATTGCGACGAGCAGTGACGCTGTCACAACTACCGCATTCGTTACTTTGTTCACCAGGATGCAATATGCCAATACTGACATGAAACCTCTGGCAGATATCGGTGACGGTCCTTCGTCGCCAAAGCAGGATATTGGAATTCTAATTGGGTCAATCGTACCTTCGCTTGCTGCAGTATATGCTGGTGTCATTTTTTTGTTGTGTTTCTTGAAGAAAAAGAAACGCAAGGCAGAGGTACAGCCGAAGGAAGAAGGGCCTTGAACATCAAGTGCGCAGATGTTTATTCCATCAATCTTAGAGTTGTATTTCGTAATCAATTTTTACGTACACTCAGATTCAGATTCTGGAGCACGTTTGTTAGCTTTAAGCGGAGATATACGTTAAGAAAACAATCATTACGGTTCAAGATTGTTTTATTATTGAGCAAGTACCGGTAGTCCTTTGCTATCTTAGTATGCAAAATTACACCGTGAGCATAAAATTATCCCGAACTGTCAAATTGAGTCTTTTGATTTATGTATATTGATAAAAGAATCGACACGTCATTTCTCATCAGATATCTTTCAATGGCATAAGCATTTGCATTATACCTTTTATTTGAGTAAAGGTATGAGGTTATTATACCGGATATAATATATATTTTAACGTCCTATGTGCTATTAAAGAAAACAGAACGTGTAATCTGTAAAACATATTTTCATATGTTACGAAGCGAATGAATTTTGTACGAAATGGCCCAATTTTTTTATTACAGATATTTTATGATTAAGAGTTTCTGACATATTCTTATACAAGCGTTGGACTTCTAAAAACGTCACCAAAGACAAATGTCATACTTGTTTTATTTTCAAAAGTAATTACTCTGTCACATTTAGCCACTGACACCAGAAGCCGCCTTAAAGCCGATTGGACGAATCTTCATCTCTGTTCTCTTCAGCGAATGGTTATAACCTTTAAAAGTTTTCCAGTTGACGCCATCAGCAAAAGACGCGTGTTCACCAAGATGGTACAGACCGTTCAGGTTTGATTCATGGCAGGATTTGTGCCACCATGCGCCCTTATAAGTTTGAGCACAATTGCTATCGTAACTGTCATTATCTTTGTCCTTCGTTGAGAATGCCATGCCATTATGGTAACCCAGGGAGTCACCTTGAATTAAAATCTATTGTTGAGAATGCTGTACAAGAAGCATCAATGTGCAAACTTTATCATTAAATGTTTTCATGCAAATACACACACACACACACACACACATACACACACACACACACACACACACAGGGACAGAGAGAGAGGGGGAGGTCAGGGAGTATAAAGGATCGTTTAATCTGACGTGATCCTATAGGGGTCTAGATGTCTGTTCTTTTAAGTACATGTAAGCTGTCCTTAGATTTTTCAATTAAAATAGTAATCCATTTAGTGTACATGAATCGTGATATTTTTCCGTTGATTTTTTAATAGACAATTTAAAAAAGTAATTTTACAAATTTAAGAAATTTAGTTTACCTGCGTCTCCAGAGTATCCGCCAATGGTCAGCTGATAATTTGTCCTCTCTGAGGAGATGGCGAAATTGTCATAGCGGGCATAGGCCTTGACCCCAGTGGCGTCCTCCATATCAACGCGGAGTTCATACCGACCTTGGTTAGTGAGAAGGTTTATAAGATCGTTTCCTGGATGAGAAGAATAGATATTCACACCATTTTCTTATATGTGTAAAATATATATTTACTGAGTGGATGGATTCGGTGAAAAGAAAAACATTCATTGCAAACTCTTTCATATATTTGTGTTACGACATATGGCCTGTCAATAGGGAATTCCTTCGATTGACATTCATTTCAAATGCACAAATTAATTAAGCGAACGTTTGTATGTCATTAAACACCGAGTAAATAAAATTTTCAGGGCATTACCCTTTGAATGGTAAATATTATAACGAAGAATGCCAGGCCCGTAGCCAGGGGGGGTTCGGGGGTTCGAAAGAACCCCCCTTTTGTGCTGAAAAAGGTCCACTCTGGGTAAAATTTGACATAAGTACATGAGGATTTTTCGGTAAAAGGTCCACTTTTTTCAGAAAAAGAACCCTCCCCCCCTTTGAAATTGCTGGCTACGGGCCTGAATGCTATACATCATACCAAGCCAGTGCTCCCCGTTCAGGTTACCAAAGCCGTGTTTGTAATCCTCCCAACCGCGGAAGAAGTCGACCGACCCGTCCATACGCTTCTGGAATAGCTGGAAGTGGAACAATACATATTATATTCGTGTTTGAGACTTGTTTACCGATATAGCGAGTTAAAACCAATGCTTTATAGCAGAGCAGTTGGTTTTACATGTATATTTTAATGTTTTAAAAAACATAGCGCTTTGGGTGTTGACAATAACGTATTATAATCTTAACGCGATCGAAAAAACGCAAGGTACTAGTATGATTCAAATTAAGTAAATTTAAGTAACCGTTCACATATTGCTGTTGGACCTACCGTCCATCCTCCCCCGTCAGTGGTCATGTCACAGTAGACATCGAAGGGACTTTGGCCGTTAGAGGGGGTAATGGTGTACACTCCGCTTAGTTTAACACCGTTCTTGTACAACTCAGCACAGTCTTTGCCAACAGCTGGGAATATAAGATATACAGTTACTTGTCGGATCTTGCTAAGAATGAGGGCAATTAATGGGAACAACCAAAGGTGAACAGGTCCCCCAGTGCGTTCTTGCTGTTATGCTTCTCCCACGACCCGTCGTAACTCAATGTACGCATCCTTAAATATCCCTTTCGGTAATTTTTTTTTCATAAGGGAACAAATGCCTCTTTGTCACAAAATGTTTTAAAGGAATACTCACAGATATGCGTCAAAGTCAATATGACATCTCCATTCTTAAAAGTGAGTAATATAAAACACAAATGCATGTATAACTCAGTATGTGATAAAAGTACAGACTTGACATTTAATATGGAATATTTTAGTTTCGAAGGTATGCCTAGGTAAAAATGCGTTCTTTTTTCAAAAAACTCCGATCTCATATAAGATCTGTGAATGGAGAAGTGTGTAGTCAGGTGTGTCGCTACCATTTAACTAAATAGCAGGTTTGTTGCGCTGCTGCATTATGTAATATTTCTATTTTGGCTTTCTTTATTGAGGGCAGATTTCTCCTGTACCACTCAACTGGTCAAAACAGAGTTTTCAGACATCCAGAGGAGACCAACGACGAAGCGTGGTCGCGTCTAAAGTGACACAGGATATTAACAGCGTCAGTATTTGGAGTGGATACCACATTGATGCTAAAACACCAATGGTAGTCATCGACGAAAACTTGAACCAGATCAAATAAAGGAATAATCTGGGAAGCACTTGACTATCATTTGATAGGGGGCAACTTAGGAACAATTTTCGGTTGCACGGTGAGATGGCCGGTTCACACAGAGCACTTTTAATAGCAGATTACTTACAGAACCAAGGCAATGAGCAGCTACCTTGGTCATCAAAATCGCCATATTTGAACCACATAGACAATGTGTGGGCAGGCCATTACTCGACCAATCAATGGCCTACATGTCAGATCAGGTGTAACAGCGACCGCTACTGTGACTAGACACTGACATGAGGATCCTTTGTGGAGCGTGTAACTCTTTAACAGACAATAGTTTGGAAAATACGGAGATCCAAAATATCTCTTTTAATGGTTGTTATTTGACAGAATAGGCAATGTGTTTTTGTTTGCTTCTCTGACGAATTCAATTAATGGACTGATGTCACCATGACATCAAAGAGATGATTAAAAGTTATTAAAGCACGAGTGTAATCCTCATTTTCATTTATAAGTCAGCAAAATAGAAAAAACTGATGAAAAATGATTTGGAAAAAAATATTCCATATTAAATGTCAAGTCTGTACTTGCTACCTTCTAGCCGTGCTTTATACATGTATATGCTCAAAATAATAGGTATTATAACCTTGTAAGTCAAAGCGCCATCAACAACATACCATTTTCCTTGTCCAAAGATAACTTTGCAAAACTAATCTCCACAATTCTGTGATATTTCTCCAAGAGGTCGTCGTATTTCCCCTCCAGCCTGCTTAGGTCGTTTTGTAAGACGTCTAACAGTCGGTCCACGAGAGAACATTGTGGCTGTGACGTGGAGCCATTAGCTGCTTGACGGCTAGGAAATACAAATATTTAAGGAATACCGGTAAAATGTCCTTATACAGTATAGCAAAATGAATTAATAAATAGATAGATGATTAAACCGGTAAATTCAATGATTTCATTTTATTACTTTAGGAGACCCTATCCCATACCTTAAAAATATGATCTAGGTTGAATTAAACCGATTGTAATTTCAAATTCATAAACTTTAAATGATTAATGTAATCAATATCAAATGTAACAAGTATATAGGGAATGTCGTGGGGACTGTCAACAGGTTCTGAATTATGTTCGGTTCGACTGATAAATAAATGTAAACGGAAATCGTTAGTTATGCCAAGAACACAGCTGCTCCAAAAGGTTACCTATTTGAAACTTTTTTTCCATAATTATGAAGAAGAATCGTGCTTTAACGCCTGATCTTACCGCTGAATGACGTGGCCGGTTGATGATGTCCACAGACAAAACGATGCCAATAAAAGCTTGATGCAAAACATGGCGCCTGATTTCCTGGCGCTTGTGACAGAATGAACCGTAAGTCTAAACGAGGGCGCAATTATACTTGATTCTGGAGTTAAGTCACAGGTTTGAACCTTAAACCCGGATTTTGCCAAATCCTAAAGTATTTTCACAATCCCGCACCTTATCCCTGGAACTCAACAGAACGCGGACGTTTCTGTTTTTTTCTGATAACTCTTTATCATCAGTGTCACAGTGTTGGCTGTGATCAGTTGAAACCATATTTTGGTCTGGATGCTTAGAAGTGATAACGTAATTTTAAAAAATCATATTTTGGAACATGTCCCACAAGTTGGCCTCATTATCAGCGGTTTGTTGTAGGCTCTCTTTTGCAAATTAAAAGTTGCGCATGCAAAACATAGTGAGGCCACACTTTTTTTTTATTTTTATGGATGACATCCTGCGCGCGCACCGATTTTCGTCCGTTCTCCAAAAAAAAAGAAAAAAAAGCCAGCAATTTCAATTCAAAAAGGGGGTTCTTTTTTTGAAAAGGTGGACCATTTTCCATAAAAACTTAATGTATCTAGATCAAATTTTACCCAGAGTGGACCTTTTTCCCAGCAAAAGGGGTGGTTCTTTCGAACCCCCTGGTTACGGGCCTGTCTTTTCATGACTTTCCTTTTCTACGAAGTATCACAATGCTTTAATATTTTGAGAGCATGGATAAAGACATATTGTTTATACGTGTTTCTGTGGTAAATTTGTGTTTCCAGCTGTGTACTGACAGCATTTTTTTTTTGGACTTTTTTTTTTTTTCGCCCTCTCGCACCGATTTCGGGGTCCCCAGAGGACGTCATCCATAAAAATAAAAAAAGTGTGGCCTTACACGAACAAGCATGTTTATAAAGTCGCTGTGTCATTTCGGTTACTGACATTAAGGATCCCCCCACACCCAATAACAGATAACTTATTGCTGCAGACAAAATCTAGCCGGCTGTGCACGTGTCCGTGAGGACAAACTTATTATGCTGCAGTGCAGGACCGCCAGTCTTAATGTCCAAGCACAAACACGTTAGTATTGACCGTAATTAATAACGCTGGCTTGGAGGGTCTGGGTCACAGAGGTTACTGATACATGGGGTTTCTCTCTAACCCCTACCCCACCCCGCCTCCACCCCTTGTAACAAACAATTTACATGTAACTGTTCTGTAGCTGACAAGGTCAAGGTTAGTTGTGCACATACTGTCGTTCATTTCTATTTCTTTGTAATTTCTCTGGTTACTTATTTTGCAGTCGGTTTTCGTAGTGCACATGTTTTTATTCAAACTCCATATTACTACTACGTGTAAGCTTCCATCGACGACATCCGATTTGCCTCTACTTTCTCCCACTTTTCACCTCGAGTGAGAACACACCAGCCAGAGGAAAAAATACTTTTAAAATATAATAATTACGCTTGATGATGCCACGAATTGAAGATAAATGAAGGTGCCCCATGGGTTTCGAGGTAGCACCTTACCCCTCCTTCCCTCTTCTCTTTACCACAAACATAGCCCAAAGAGTAACTTGGGACAAAACCCAACAAATTCCAAGCCTTAAATCAGAAAATGTGTTCTGCGTATAACAGTCAAATTAATCGCGTATATTGTTTCATATTTGACGAGAGAAGACGTGTTTTTCCTTATAGCCTCGCCAGTTGGCAAGATATTTTATAGTCCATTCAAAAATGACATTCATTTGTACGACAGTGAGCTCCGATGTTCCAGTTGGTTTTTGATGGCATAAATGTAAGTTCATAAGTTCTTTCCAAAGGTCAAAGGCCAAAGATGAATTAACTTTGTTTAAATCAGTATACACCCGTAAACACGTTAGATATAATAATACGCTAGCTGCACAGGTATGTTTTAGGGTTGTGTATATATACAATTTGAACTGCCCTTTTTAACATGGTACAAACTAGCATCTACAAAATCGGTGCTCTTCATATACGTAAAACAATTCAAGCCCTGTTCTAGACCAAAACCTGATGCATCATCTGTCTAAAAATACCGAGACTGTAGGTCCTTATTGTATGCTTACGGGAAAAAAGACACACTATAAATGGATTTTATCATTTAAACCGCCTCCATTGTTTCACCAGGTAGAGTGCCGCTTGTTCTCTGGACCACGAGGTCGACATGAAGCCAGGGTTTATTATCGCGGTTATCTGTTTTCTCGGAGGCGTCCAATTCGCCCTCGGCCAAATTCACACCAGAGATCAATTGGAGATGAAGCTATATCTTATTTCAATGAGTTCAAGAGTCCAAGCAATTAAGAAATATCTTATTGAGAAATGCCCACAAGTGATACACGAACATGCTGACATGGCAGACGTAAGAGGTAAAAGAGATACTGTAGCGGGTCTTCGGATTTTGTTTGCTGAAGCTGAATTGATAAAAATGCAAGAGGTGAGCTTCAAAAATTAATTGAACCTTTATTTTGCTGTGACAACGGTACATAATTGCACAAAATATGTAAATGTGGATATTCTATCCATCGCATTTGTCACTCAGAATAGTGCTTAGAAATAAACTAACAGATTCTAACAGTTTAAAGCTCTCATCATTAGATTACTGGTATTTAGTGGATACAGTGGAAGCGCTGTTGATTTCTCGTAAAGGAATCGAGTTGTACGTGTTGATTTATATTTATTAAATTACATTTGGTAACTACAGGAAAACGCTGTCCAGTGTGTCTCTTTAGGGTGTATATAACTCCATATTTTATAACAACTTACAGCTATACTTGGAATGTGCAGCTGCAACTAACGAAACCACTTTACCGCCAGATGGCACCCCTTCAACCCCGACAGCCATTTTCAATCCCAGTCAACCTACATCGACAACAATTGCCACGACTAATAACCCTCAAATTAACGGGCTTGGACCTGGTACTGCAGAGGGCTCATCATCTGAAACAATGGCACCTTCTCTTAAACAGCCAGTCAAACCATTCAGTGATGTATCCCCTGATACTCCTCAAGCCGACAACGAAAGAACTATCAGCGAATCAAACGTGGTAAAAATGGTATTTACAGCAACACTCCAGCCAACAACCAATATATCAGCTGCAATTGCCCAAAGAACAGTCACAGTATCAGCTGCAACATCTCAGCCAACAACCACGGTATCTACTGCAAAATCTCAACCACCAACTACGGTATCTTCTGCAACATCTCAGTCAACAACCACGGTATCTGCCGCAACATCTCTGCCACCAACCACGGTATCTGCTGCAACATCTCAGCCAACAACTACAGTATCTGCTGCAACATCCCAGCCTACAGCAGCGGTAAATGATGCAATATTCCAACCAACATCCACGGTATTTGCTGTAACCTCCGGATTGATTTCTAAGACAAAAACTCAACAAACAGCTAATATTTCTGAAACAACTAGTGTTCCACCACTAGCAGTTACTAACACAGCTTCTCAGCCAACAGCAAAGGTTTTTAACAGAGCATATCCGTCAACAACCACTGTATCTGCTGCAACAACCCAAACAACAGCCGCGGTATCTGCTTTGACATCCGAGTCGATTTTTAAATCAACTTCTCAGCAAACAGCAGTGTTGTCTCAAACAATTGCTCAGCCAAGGACAACGGTTTCTATCACAACTACTCAGCCAATAGCAATGGTTTTTAACACAGCTACTCAGCCAACAACAACGGCTATTGATGCAACCACTCAGCCAACGACAACGGTTTCTGATGCAACCACTCAGCCAACAGCAACGGTTTCCAACACAACTTCCATTCCGCCAGAGACAGTTCCTAACACAGCTTCTCAGCCAACAGCAACAGGCTCTAACACATCTAATCAGCTATTAGATACGGTTTCTAAGAGAACTTCTCAGTCAAAAGCAACGGTCTCTAAGACAACTACTCGGCTAACAACAACGGTTTCTAACTCAGATACCGAGCCAACAGCAACGGTTTATAATACAGTATCTCAGCCAACAGCCGCAGTACCTGCTGCAACAACCCAATCAACAACTACACCATCTGCTGCAACATCCCAACCAACAGCCACTGTATCAGAGGCAACGGCCCAATTAACAGCCACGTTATCTGCTGCCACGTCCGAGTCGATTTCTAATGCAACCTCTCAGCCAACAGCAGTGGTTTTTAAAATAGTCACTCAGCCAACAGCAGCAACTTCTTACACAACTACTCAGACAACAGGAACGGTTCCTAACACAACTACTAGGCCAACAGCAACTGTTTTTAATACAGCTACTCGGCCCTCAGCAACGGATAATAACACTCAGGAAGCACCTGCTTTTGCTATTACAATAAGTCGAGAACAATACAAGGCTTCTGCTGCATCAAACCAGCCGCAAACCGGAACATTCCAGCCATCAGTTTATATTTATTCTACGACAAACCTGGGAACAAACCCACTGTCTTCATCAACGACGACGGCAACCACTTCCACTACAGCTTACGCTATTTATGAAGCGGCCTCTGAATTAAGTACGATTGATACAACGACATCTTTTGAAATAAATGACTTTTCAACTACAACATCGCCTTTTATTTCAAATACCTATTCTGTCAGCATGATGAGTGAGACGGCTGGAGTCACCCCCAATATGTCTAGAACCACTGGCGCCGTGCCAACCGAAGCTACGAGAACAAATTTGACCACCGCCGCGGAGACGTCTATCGCACCGAGTGCTGATGATCTGCCACAGTCACGTGTAGTCTATGGGACACCCGAGGTTAATCCTCCTACCCTGCAACTTAACCCAGTGACAGATGAAGGTGGGAGTGCATAACACGTCCTCACAACCTTAGTAATTCGAAAGAAAATTATTGATGAGTAATAACCTACACTAATCGTTATCATTTTTATTCAATACTAACCTTTATTTTAACAGTTAATTAACCATTGCCTTGATTTATTTGTCTACACTTCCATAGCATTCAAGCTAAAGGCATTTGGTACGAATTGCATTCCCCTGTTAGGGACGTTACCTGTATAAATTGCCCGACATACATGTACTTCAATATGTCATGTTTAAATTGTAAAAAGAAACATCAGAGATCACGCATGGGGGCTGTTAATAGCGATGCTTGGTAATAAATTGCTGTCAAATGAATGGGATGTTAAACGCCTTCTGGTAAAATGTATCCAATAAAGATTAAGATAATGCTGACAATGGGAATAATTTAGGGAAAAGCGTACAGTGCGATCAGAACTCTCCTCGCGGATTATTTCCCGCTAAACGTTAACTAACATCGGCATTGTTTGAAAGGGGTCTTGAACAAAAAGAACCAGTGTCATGATGGCAATTATACCCGCCAACATTGACAATTTCCCGGAAGGAGGATTCCCTCGCACGTCCACGTCACCCACCCCGACACACACACACACACACACACACACACACACACACACACAGAAAGAGGAAAAAAACACACAGGAAAAAACAACACGCCCACACAAAAACAGCGTTCCTTTTTAAGATTAAAATATTTTCATCTTTTAATCTTAAAAAGGAGCATCGTCTTTTAAAATTTTAATGTTTTCTAATGCTTCTGAAAGAAACGTTTCGGTTTTTTCCTTAGAAATACATGTATGTTAGCAGTTTGCTATAATGAAATACATTGACAACACAAAATGAAAAGAAAAATCAAATCGGCAAGTAAGTAATTTATTAAATTTCAGTTTTAGTCTTACAATGTTTCAAGAATACCATCAACTGTTTTACAACTTATTCATAGTAACAGCCAGTTTTAACCAATAATTAAAGGTTTTTGCACTCCGATATTTCAGTGTTTGTCGTGTTGCTTTCATATAGTATAAGGGATTCAGCTTATTTCACACCTCATGCAGGGACAACGAGTCGTAAGTTTTTTTAACTTTCTATGTTACTGGGCTATTTTTGAAAAAATTCTGGAGATTTCTTTGTAAAATCCCAATCGTCTCACTTCATAAAAATTCAGTTTTTGGGGGAATTATAAAATATTCGTAATATCCTTCAAAACTGAACTACTCTTTATTAATCCATTGCCTATAGAGACAGGTCATTTTAAGCACGAAATCTCATTCATCACCACTCCATATATATATATTCTTAGTTGTCGCACAAATGGCCATTGTGCATAAACGAAAACGAAGAAAAGGGGCACAATATTTCATGCGCCTCGACAGCCATACTTGATATGAAAATCCATCGCAGACACTACATACCGGCAGATATAAATAATAATAATAATAATTTATTTACTAAAATCGCACCTAATAGGTTGAAGTTTTACAATGCGTCTTAAATAATAAAATCATAAGGTATTTTAAAATTAACTAAGAATTATAAACTAAACTAAAAGGACCAAAGACTTATAAGACAGTTTGAAGCAGTAATTTACATAAAATTTAAAAGACTGTGTATTATAAAAGATGATTTAAAACGCTCCGTTTTTACTTTTGGTATTAAAAATTTGTTGCTGACCCTGAGATTTCTTGGGTTCTTTTGTTTAAACAGATGGTGTAGCTTATTAACATTCTTGATTTTTGTAAAAAAGTTCTTAAGTAAAACGACTCTTCTCTCCCTCAGAGAGGTGAGATTACTAGCCTGTAGGGCATCCTTGTAAGTATAAAATGGGTAAATAATTCTAAGAGCTCTCCTTTGAACAGATTCTAAGCATTCACATTGTTCAGCTGTAAGACCAGGCCCCCACACAGGGCATGCATATTCTAGGACTGATAGATCAAAAATAGCATACTTTGACGACATGTAGATTTTATGCTCCATTTGTAACAAATTTTAATTGGAGCTCATTCGTAGCGTTAATTTTCCAGAGCTGCGATTTTCGTAATGTGCGCTTTTCTTCACGAGTAATGATACAAATTACACCTTTATTCTTTTAAATACTGCTACTATAGGCCTAGTACTCAAGTCACACCTCAGACTCTTTTTGAAACTTGCAAATACACTCTGGGAGAGGTTCGAGAGAAAATCCGGTTTCTCAGCTGGATCAGGTTTTGTCTATATAAACGTCAAATGAGGAAGTTTACTTGAAAAAGCAATTTTTACAAACAATGCCCGCTGTTAAAATAATCGGTATTATCGGTTCCCTTCAGGACAAGCCTAGTCCCATGACAACATTATACTCACACAAAGACGGACGTGGTTTTGTATTTGGCATTTCTTCCTTATTGTTCACAGCATCAGTGCCCTCCATCAATGACCGTAAGAAGCAATAATATGACGGCAAATTAAGTCACTACACGTTCTAACCAAAGGAAAGAGAGAAAAGTCTGATAGATCGGGATATTTTGTGTGAATTGGGAGATCGGAAGATATGTCCCCAAATCGGGAGACTCTTGACTAGACCGGGCGTGCTGACAGGTCTCTGGGCTCCGTATCTCGAAAGGTTCGCTGTGTTGCGCACGTGCAAGTGAGTCTCGATTTCATGGCCCCGTATCTTGAAATAGAATCGGTTATGGAATCGAGACACTAACACACGTGCGCAACATAGCGAACCTTTCGAGATACGGATCCCTGGTTAATTTCCAGCTAACTGTTGCTGCTGTTGTTGAGATTGTTATTGGTGTGATAAAACTACATGTATATGGTTATTTTTTCATTGCGTTCCAGAAAACGACCCATGTAATATGTACAGTGCCTTAACCGAGCCATGGCGGAACGTGGCGCAGGGCAGCAATGTCCAAGAACTTGAGAACGCTTTCGGCCGGGCTAATTGTGACAGCTCTTCTCGTGGCTGGGTGGCAGCCTGGTATCGCTTTCTGCCCCCTGCCGGAACGATGATGACTCAACAGGTACATAAACCATTTCTTGAGGATTGCATGGATGACATATAGGGAGGCTAAAGGGATTTGGATGAGCTTTTATTACTTGCAAAATCTCGCAAGTCTCTGCTCTTTAAATTTGTCTGTGGTATTTTTTTGTCCGAAGATAGAGGCCACAATTTTAGAGATTTTTGTTTCATTTTTTTGTTGATTGGTAATAGATGGACTGAATGGGTTTCAAAAGGATCAGATTATGATCGGCAATATTTTAGAATATTTAATGGGGGGACTAGGGATATGTAATTTAGGGAGGCTATGCCTCTTTGTAAACAGGTACAGGTATACAGTATACCCTGGCTGCTCGAGATTAATTACCACTTGTCATTTGGTTTACAGAGTATAACATGTGGCATTTGCCATTTTTATCATTAAACCCCTAGATCTATTGACTTTAAGACAATGAATGACTGTTTACAGTGTGTCAAAACATTGCTAACCTGACATCATACTGTTTTGAACAATGCCCATTTCTAGGCATGCCTGTTAAACAAGGCAGATTGATTTAAGAATAGCCGTACATATTTGTAATGTAAGATCTACTAGTATTGTTTTGAATGGTATCGAGTTCTGTATTTCTTATTTTTAATATAATCTCATTTTAATGCCCAGGCTATGGATAGGGAATTAATGCATGATGGTTATGTACATTGATAGCAGGAGGAAACAGAGAGATAGATACACAAATAAAAAGATAATTTATTGTAACCAAATGTGCACCATGGAAGGCATCCTTTTTCATTTTTACTGTTGGCATAATCTGTGAAATATATTAATTAAAATTAATGTTAACCATAACTTAGACATTTCCTCCAAATCAATAAATATGTAAAAAACCGTAAAGAACGAAATGTATGTGCTGGATTACAGTTCTCATATTAAGTAGCAGCAATCAACTTTCAATTGCCCATAGGGCTAAGGTACCCAGGTCTATCTTTTATACTGTAACTTGTAGCAATGATGCATTCTTGTTGTACTATATTAAGCAAGTTCTTGCTGTATCGAGCAATTTCATTTATCTATTTTTATTTGATTCAGTGTTTGTTTGGGTTTTTGTCCACTTTTTTATTCGTTTATTTCCCTTTTATTATTTATTTTATAATATTTTCAATTATATATATGAAATGGTATTCAACTATTTTATAAAATTATTCTAAAATTTATTTTTCTTTTTATTCCTTCTCCATTTTTGCTTTTTTTTATTATTTAGATAAAGTTTTCGTTGGCACTACAATACCTTTTGTCCCAAACTTAATCTTACCGCTGTACATTTAATTGATATAAAATACAATGTCTGTATCTCTCTCCAGTGCCCTGACAGCGGGTCATGCGGAAGTCACGTCTCCCACTGGCTGCTGGGGACTCACCCAAACGTGACCGGAAGTCAGGTCACGCTGGATGTATGCGGATCGTTGATTGGTCAATGCTGTTTCTCAACACAGACGGTCAGAGTAAAGAACTGTGGCACATATTTCGTTTACTATCTCCCACCATTAGGAGGATGTCATCACGGATATTGTGGAACAAACTAGCTGCAGAATAGTACTGGGGCAATTCTGCCTGGAATACGAGTATATGTGTATTTAATTTCCACTGAACTGCAACAAGGTAGATTTCCATTTATTTGTGTATCCTCCTTTACTAATCCTCCCTCTTCGGTTTCTTTTTTTCACCTTTCCTCTTAACACAAATTACCAAAAAAATATCCAATTTGTGTAAACACCAAGTTGAAGTCGACCTTATTGACCCGTCAAGACGAAATGTATACAAATACATGCATGAGGTGCCAGTAGTCCCTGAATCAACTATGAAGTGGGCTTACAGTAGGCCTACCGGTATATCACACAGCTTTAGTCTCCTTTAACTATATATAATATCTGCGTGTGTAGAGTATATATATATATATTTTTTTTTTCCGTTTTTTCCAGGCATGCATTATAAATTTTGACCTTGACACTAATTATT